TCCATTCTGCCGCCGCAGGAAGTCGTGTCCTTTACGTAGTGAGGTGAAATTAAGGGCGTGGAGGTCGGGGTGGTGGGCGGCGCTGCTTGTCTTGTTCAGTTTGTGTTCTGTCACAAACCAGCAAATAATATTTGCCTTTTTGTTTCACTGTTTAACTGTAACCACAATCTTTCCCTAACCTTAACACGTGTTTTAGGTGCCTAACCCCAATTTAACCATAGTTTAGTAGCCATAACCATAATCTCCATAAACATCAACCATACTGTAGTTTCCATGTGCAGATAGAAAGAAATATCACTGTTCTTGTCTTGTTCCGCTTACCATTTGTGCTATCTCACCATGCAGATAGTTTTGGTTTAATTTGCTCAAGTTTTGAGATTTCCAACACTGAGATTTGTTGCTAACAAGCCAATATAACGGCGGTGAATCATCACATTCAAAATGATATTCCAACATCAGTGTTTCGTTAGAAACAATGTCCCCGTTACTCTGGATGTCAGAGGTTTCCACCAACATATTTACTGAAGTGCATTTTAATGGCGCTATGACCGATTATCTCAGGGAAAAAAGTTAACAAGCTACATAGTGAGGGACTCTTTGAACTGAACAGAGCAAAGTGAGTTGAATCAGCAAAGCAATTGATTTCCACCTACCACTAGAGATAGAGAGAATGAATGTGTCTCATTTGGGTGAACTGGCCCGTTAAGCATCACATCACAGAGCAGGTGAGCTATCACATAAATGTATATATGTATAGGTGGGCTTCTGAAAAGTATAATTTTACACAGGTATTCAGAAGTAGAACTCGTGGGTTAAATTGGCTTCAATCTCCAGTTTTTGGCTAAACACCTCGAGCAAAACTTAAGTGGCTTTGTTTCTCTCTAACTTCCTTCAGTGAGTTTATCATTTCTCATATTTCTATGGGGAAATTTGAGACAAGACAATACTGCACGAGCTTTCTAAAGAAACTCATACTCTGCTTTAAATAGTTAATTACTCTCGCCATGTCTCCGGTGGTGTCTGGATGTAGATTGGGGGGGGGAGAGACGGAGACGCTTCTGTCTGTCTTCCTTTCTTTTTTTTTTCCAGTAGGGGCAGGCCTATATATTTTGCAGCTCATGTCTGAAAGGCTGGCTCCAAGCGCTAGGGGTGGGCTCTCGCTCTCTGATGGTTTTCCAGTGAGTATTTGTCAGGTCAGACTGTGCACCGCCCGGCGGTCTCCGCTCCTCTCCCCGGGTTATTTATTACCTCTCTCCCCCGCCGGCAGCGCTGCGGCTCCGGGGCCGCTGCCAACAACGGCGCAGAGGCGGGGGCCGCGTTAGGGGGGTTCACGACGGACGGCGAGCAGCAGAGGAATGGACGTGAAATGCATTTTGTGGATGGACAGAATTTCAGTGCTATTATATGGCGGAAGTTACAGTCCTTGACGTTTTCAGTAAAACATCCTTTATGGTTTGCAGAGTGAGGAGACGCCTCAGGAGTGAACTGGTGTTCAGTTTTTGTTTTTGTTTTAAAACTGTTGAACCATTGTATGGCTGGAACTATAGTAGCACATAATCTTATACTGTCACCATTAATGTTGAGATAATTATTCAACTAATTGATTATTAGAGCTGCAGTAAATGAATTGTCAACGGATTTTACTTTGATTAATAATTTAAGTCATTTATCAATGAAAATACCAAACATCCAAAGGTTCATGCTTTGGGTTTGGACTGTCGGTCACATTTCACAAGCAATTTGAAGATGTTACCTTGGAGTCTAAATTTTGATGGACATTTTTGACTTTTTGCAACAAACTAAATTGAAAATAGTTATATTAATATATATCTAGTTAATAACCATAGTTTGTCCATGATGATGTGGATCCATGATATCACCATTCAGGCAGTTTGCATTATATTTAAAGTTATCTATGTGCTGAAAAGGAAAAGGTACTTCAAGAAAATGGCAGAAATTGTTTTTCAAAAAACAGGAATCAATCATATGTTGTTTTTATTTGCTGCAATTGGACTATTTTTCATTTTCATTGAGTTTTATAGACATCTGAGATGGGAAAGTGTACCACAGTGAATCTACTACCCAGTTTTCAATACACTTACAGCAACATGAACACCAATCAATTCAGAAGGCACATAAACTGGCAAGAAAGAAAGAACAGTGGAGTTTAAATGTCTGGAGATACAAAGGAAACTCCTCAACGTACTGTGATATTGGTGACAGTGCGACACATCTATATCATGTACCATTAGTATAGCATGTAGCATAGGATACTTATAACACATTGGCTAACTCAATATTGATTATCTAAGCTTCCTGAAAAGAAAATTGTGTCTTAAAAATGTTTCCTCAGTTTAAAATGTTGATGAGTTTGATATCAGGCCCTGAGAGTCAATGAGTGGGGGTTTTGTATTGTAGAGTCACCAGATTAATCACACTTGAACCAGCATTTAGTAATAGAGAGAGAGAAACTGTAAGATGAGTGTCTCCCTCAAGAGCAACTAATGTTTTCGCATTTTGGGTAAAAGGCTTGCATTTTCCTTTTAGGTTTAACAGTTTTTCTGTGAAATGTAAAACCACACCTTTTATATTAAAAAGTCATCATTGTATTGTGCTAAATATAACAAAACTTGCTAAATTGTCTGCTCTGATTTGACCTAAAATGTAACAAAATTAAAAACTCTTTCAGTTGTCTCATGAGAGAGTGCTGAAAGCAGAGATAAGAGGCCATTGACTAAGCAAGGTACCCTTTTACTGTAATATAGTTATGTACTGATATTGGGATTTCCTAATTCATTGTAAATTCATGGGGTGTAAGAACAGGTGTGGGTTTTTCTGTGGTTATTTTTTCTTTTTAGATACACAGGACTCTGCCACACTGTAATGAAACAAGAAGTAAAGGTTAAATGAGGTAGAAAGGTTAAACAAGGTTTCCCCTTCACATCAAGCATTTTTATGATAGAGACACAAAGGCAGATGGAAAAATCGACTCAGTTAACGCTGAACCGATGATTTTGAGGATGTGAAAGTTGAAGTGTCGTCACTGTACTAGTTTGGGGAACCCCTCCATGATGAGCCATCAAGAATGAGTCACGATCAGGGATCGGACGTGGGCGTAAGAGTGGCCATGGGTGTCCCCTTTATGACTGGTTTCACCAGGGCTCTCCCAATGGTGCAACATTCAGCACCAACGCAAGCATCAGCAAGGTTTCCATTGAGACATTTCGATGTGGTGAAAGCTGGTTTGATAAAGAGAATCAAACAGCTTCTCTTATGAAATGTTGTGTTCCACTTCCCTGAAACGGCTTTCTAAACATACAGCATAAATGTCAGCAGCCCATGATTTATGTCAGTCCTACCGCTTGGTGTACTCACCAACATGTGGGAAGTGACATTATTGTTTAGTTGAAAAATGTGCCTTTCAATTTCATTTTTCAGACTGTGTTTACTTTAAAGGTAACTATTGGACAAGTGATTTCAGGTCACCCCCTTTTTTTCTGTAGTTGTGTGTATGAACTCTGTTTTGGTCTCTTACTGATCCACAAACCCACTAATTCCATTACATTTCCTTCAGACATCACAGCTCCAAAAAGGAAAAATGTTGGATCTACGGTCCGTCACCGTCTTTGGTGAGGTAGCTGGCATGTGTTTTTGTAAATGTCTGCTGTGTGTTTGCCTGCCTGGTCCTGGCTGTAGGCATTATACCATTTCTGGCCAAACTGTGGTCTCTGGCCTTCCCGTGCACTGCTTCCGCCTGCGGTGTGGCGTGCCTCCTTCCTGTGTGTGTCAGAGGCAGTTTGGCCTGATTTATAGGCCCCTGACACACAGCGCTTTGGACCCCACCTCTGCTGCTGGAATGGCTATCCCATGTGTTGGTGGTGGATCCACCTGGGTGGTTCTCCACTGATGGGGGTCAGATGTGGCCCTGCTCACGAGCTTCAGGAGCTCGGGGGAACATGCCCTGTAGACAGTGTGGAGAGAAAGAGCTCTCAGAAAAGCAGCTTCCAGGCAGAGGAAGTTTTTACTTCAGTTAAAGCAGCAAGCTCACAGCAAAAGTTGCACATATCTCGATGATCTGTTCTTTTGAACTGAGCTCCACCTGCTTGCAACCCAAAATTAAAAAGAACATCGATAAGGGTTCGATTTTGGTTAAGTTTTAACTTTGCACGTTGATAAAGGTTAAGCTAAAATGTTGGTCCGAGGTCACAAATCAAAAGTTTCAAAGTTAAAATTATCCGTTTTTGTAATACAACATCACACACACACACACACACACACACACACACACACACACACACACACACACATATATAAAACAGCTTTTAAGTTTAAGTACAGCTTTAAGTAAGTTATTTCAAGGAGGGGGTTTAACACTGACAGCTCTGTACACACTGTTGAACAGTTTTAGTGCTGGCTCACTGAAGCGGCCACAGCAGGTGAGTGTAAGTTTGAGGGTGAGATGGTGTCACAGTAGGTTGAGTATAACAAATAGATGGCTCAATTTAGACACACAAGGAGAACATAAAAACCGGCCAGTGAGTTGACTGTCATGGGTTGATGTGGTGGCCTATGACGTCTGTTATCACCTCTGTGTGTCTGATTAAAGTCTGCTGCTAGCGTTTGGCTTTAAAATGATTATATATGATGGAGTTATTAATTTAAGTGGAATTTCTTTGATGTAGAAACTATTGGTCTAAAAGGTGCCTGATTTAGGTCTGGTATTATTGGACCTTAAAATGATCATAAATCATATCATTTGAGAGGAAACTGTTAATATAAATGTAGGCAGTGTTGTTGGTTGTCGTAAATATGAAGGCACAGCTGTTAAGATTAGAAGTTAGATTCAGTGGCTTGCTCATGCTCACTAATGACGGTTCCTCCATTTTACGCACTGAAGCGCCGTCCCTCTCAGTCCCCCCTCCTCTCCGCGGCTCTCGCTGAGCCTCCGCTGTTTAAATGGGCCAAGTTGAGAATCGGCGGAGAGTGCAAATCTTGTTTGGTCTGGGTCTGTGAACTTCAGCGTGACTTCAACGACATACACAGGGGTTAAAAACAACTCTTTCCAAACTTTCAACTGTATTAATGTTGCGCAAATACTACTCAGGAATATCAAGCCCGATATGTTTGGCTTATGTTTCTGATTAATGCCATATGCCACATTGGTTTAAGGAACAGGATTAATGTACTATTTCTTTTTTTATTGCCTTCACTGGCTGTGAAATTGTATATTGGCCAGATTAAAGCTCCCCGGTATTGAATCGATGTGCCGTTGTTTTTTTTTTTTTTTTAAAGATTGCACAGCCGATTCACGATTTTGACTTTACTCAGTGAATATTACAAAAAAAGAATCTCTTACTTCTAACTACCCCAAAGGCAAAGAAATAAGAGACACGACATAGCTGCGTGTGGTAATGATCACCGTAGGTAGCATAATGTCCGGGGCTCAGGGCTAGCCAGCATGTCAGGTATTAACAGAGCGAGCGTGATTAAATGTGGGAGGTAGGAGCTGTGAGGCTGGCGGAGAGCGCTGCTGCCGCTGCGAGCTGGAAACTACTGAATGGGAATCTATCCGGCAACTTCACCAGACCGCTGTCTCACGGCGACACGGGGGCTCTGCGTAAAACCAAGCGGCGCGTCTCCAAGTCTGGGTCAGCCCCGCTCACAGACGGAGAGGACGCTCAAGTTGGATCGGACGAGCAGCTTTTCACTTGTTACCGGCGCTCGGCTCCCTCTAACATGCCTGCCATCAAAAAGGAGAGGCTGGATGGAGACGATATGGCATTGACTGCGTTCAACCAGTCCGAATACCTGGCCCCTTTAAATGCCACCGCGATCCCCGTGGTGACCCCGCATCCGCCGCCCTACGACCATATTTTCGCCCATCACCGCGCGTACTTGGGGCTCCACGACTCGGCGCTGCATCACCAGCACCTCCACCATCACACGGACGACTTAATGCTGGAGAGGTTCTCCTCCATCCCCGACTTTCAGCCCTTCTTCGACAACGGGGAGCCGTGCATCGAGGTGGAGTGCGGCGAAAACAAGGCTTTGCTTTATATCAATAAATTGTGTCAAGGCAGTAAGGGACCCTCAATTAAATACAGGGGCGAGTGGCTTACCCCCAATGAGTTCCAGTTTGTCAGTGGACGAGAGACTGCCAAAGATTGGAAACGGAGTATAAGACACAAAGGTAAGAACAACATCTCGGTTCGGTTGGTAGAGAGGGGGCACCTCCATCATCAATAAAACACTTTTAGACGCTGCTTATTTTCTGGGCACAAAACTTAGTCTGGCGGTTCGGTGCCGAGTTTTGGAGTGAAAGGGTTACAGCAGTCAGTGCGTAAGGAGACAGATGAGAAAAGGCGCATATCCTCAACATACCCGCCGAGGCTTTGACACAGAGTTCGGGCTGCGAGCACAAACCACACCGGGGCGCTTGGAGTAGGCTGCACCGGGACCGAGGTGAAAAGTTAAGACATAGATAATTCAATATGTGACAGTTCAAATATGTCTTTTTCCTCATTAGGGTGGTGAATCGCTCTGTTGAGTGCAGCTGCATGGCTGGTGACACTTTTACGCATCGCGTGGCTGCTTTTAAAGCGATTATTTTTTTTAAATTAGCGTTTTGTTTCTCCATTCAACGTTACAATCGGTGTGGATTTGTGCCTATTTCAACCAAATATGACTAAATATAACGTGTATAGCTGCTTTTATGCATAAACGTATTTTATATGTTTTTGTTAGATTGTCAACATCCTTGACAGCATCAATCTGGGCTACTGTTCCGGTATATTTTATGTTGAGAGTTGAGATTTATAGTATTTTTATGCAATAACTACGCATGGTGCGCTCACCCCATCACCGCACACACACACACACACACACACACACACACACACACACACACACACACAAGGTTACTCAGGCAGAACTGACACGCGTTAAGATGTGTGGGGGGAGGATGTCGCCCCCAGGTCAGAAATGGTAGCCTAATAGTTTAATATACCGATTCTTATAGACAGATGACAGTAGGCTGCTGTCTCTCTAGCTCATCACACTGGACTATTGGTAGAATTAAACTTCATGGCAAAAATGTTGAGAGATGAGTCAAGTTTGACTGCAGGGGCTGACTCCTTCAGATATATTTCCTGCGTTTATTGGTTGATTTTTGGAGAGATTTGTCTTTAAAACTTTGAGTCCTGAGATGATGGGATGAAGAACAGGGCCCATTCTCGAGCAAGTTGATTATTCTTTATCACATGCAGTGTCATGGAGGAGTTCACTGGCTGGACAATGTGGTTGGTACTATTTTTTACTAAATGTGTTTCTCTCTTTTATTTTTTCAGGGAAAAGTCTCAAGACTCTTATGTCCAAAGGAATCTTACAGGTGCACCCTCCAATCTGTGATTGTCCTGGTTGTCGAATTTCATCTCCAGTGGTAAGAATACTTCTTCTCATCTTCTGTCACACTGGTGTTACTGCTGCACCGTCTTTCTGTGTGGAGTCAATGTGTTAACTAGGAGAAACTATGAGAATATGTAGGGTTAAAAGATGCTGGGTTGTTCACTGTTTCTCAAAGAGCACAATGCACAGAGTTGGAAGACATTGATATAGTACAAATATTTGTTTTAAGAGACTAGAGGTTTTTTGTTGTTATGATATATTCTTTCGTAGTTAAGTAATACAGATGTTTTTGATGGTTTTTGCTCAGTTAAATGCTTGTGCTTGCTTGGCTGTTATACCAAGTCAAGTCAATTTATTTAGAAATGCCTTTATATAGCCCAAAAACACAATCTGTTCCCACGGTACTAATATTTAGTCTTTTTATTTATTTTTTCCTCATAGACCATATAGCCCATAATTTCGTTTAGTTTAGCTTGGACTGGGCATACCGATGTTTTAATGGGATATTTTTGTCAGCTCTACAGACACAAAACAGCAGTGTGTATGAGTGTTTATTGGAGCATTGTCTTTCTTTGTAACCTTGATGGCGAACGACCCTACAGGCACACATGTCAACTTTGATGGTAATTTTTCTCAGCGTTAATATCAAATTCACTTTCACTGCTGCAGAGTATGAAACAGCCTTTTATTCAGAAGCATTGAGCTGTTGAGTCTGTTCAGTTTGACGTTAGGTGTCGTTGGTCGGCTCTTCTGCCCCATTGAATCATTTTCCTCACCTGGCTGTTGAACTTTTGTTTGCCTTGTGCTTCCCTCCGGGCTCGGCCAGGGGCACGATGCCAAACCTTGAGGCCTTGCAGGTGTGTCACGATTACAGCATCACCACTGTGTGTGTGTGTGTGTGTGTGTGTGTGTGTGTGTGTGTGTGTGTGTGTGTGTGTTTGTCTGAGTGGGTGTGTGTGTGTGTCAGCTTTGAGCAAGCACACTGCCGGCTCACCGTCGCCAAATCTGTTCACACAGGTGCAGTGGGTGTGTGTGTGTGTGTGTGTGTGTGTGTGTGTGTGTGTGTGTGTGTTTTTATCACCACAGAGCGCATCTGTCGTCGCTCCCAAGCACTAATCTTGAGGGAAGGGTGTAAGAGGCTTAGCGAGCTACTGAGCGTGGCTACTGCTGATTATTGTGTGCGAGGCACGCAAGGCAAAGGCGGTTTAGATAAGCCGGAGGTGTTTGAGTGATACAGGTAAACTGGTGACATTTTTCACAGCCAAGAATGAAGACCTGTACCCCTAACACATAGGGTTCAGCCAAAATGAATTACCTGAGGGCGGTAGGGGGCAGAGAAAACAGACAGTAGAAATGTTCATGTCTTATTTTTTTACAGACAGATTTGAGAATCCGAGCGTGTTTGCTTATGTTTAGGCTTATTACAGATATCAGTGTGATTGGCTTTTGGCTTGCAAGGACTTGTACAGTTTCACTTCAATTACAACTGTGACGGAGTAAAACTTTATTGACGTAAGCAGGGATATGAGAGCCTTAAGGTTGTTGTTGTAGCCTACTCTCCCTCTCTGTCTCTCCCTTTCCTTCCTGGCGGTGAAGCCTGAAGTCTAACCCACCAAGTGAATACCACCGTGACACTTTCGCGCACACACACACACACACACACACACACACACACACACACACACTCACACACTCACACACACACACACACACACACACACACACACACACACACACACACACACACTAAGTATGTTGGCAGTTCCATGCGAGGCGGTGAGGGTTAGGCGGAGGAGGGAAGGCAGCGGGACTTGTATGGCCTGTACTGGCGTCTCCCTCTCTCCCCACTGACTCCCCTCAGGGCATGGCAGCCAGCACTCCCTCACTGATGAGCTCTCTCTCTCTCTCTCTCTCTCTCTCTCACTTACAGACACACACACAGTGCACGCTATATGCCTGCCTACTGACACAAATTACCTCATGCAGTCATTTATTTTGAAAGTTTGACGGCTGAACTTTGAGTGATCTTGTTTCGCTATAGGCATGAGGCAAACGATCATAAAAAAAGAAAAGTGCAGCAGCTGGTGGGAAGACTTTTCACCTGCCTGCTCAGAACTCGTGGAAGTTAATTTGCTGTGTCGGCCCGGGCACAAGCTGTTTATAACGACAGGACACAAACTGAACTGTTGTTACACTCAACAGTTCTGAATTTAAATGTGGTGATAATATTGTTTCTCCACACTCTAAAATTAAATCAGTGTGTGATTGATATTCTGTTAATAACTAGCTGTAAAGGTGTGTTAGCTTTCTTTTAAACCTGTTACTGTGTGATGATCAGGTGCTTAAATTATTTCTCTCTTTTGGCACCTTTAAGTTGTCAGATGCTGCTTATTTTGTGTGTCTGGGACCATGTTTCATTATTTTTCATGTATAGAATGTAATACTAAAGAAGTTTATTATTTATGTTGGTGTTTTAGTCTGCAGTTAGTTTGTATCTGTGTCTTTATGCGTGCGTGTCTGTGATTATTTGTACACCCGCAATGGCTGGCTTACTTGTCTGTTTGCTGTGTGTGCGCGTGTGTGTGTGTGTGTGTGTCTTTCCTCCTGGGAGAGCTGGGCTTCCTCTGCTCTGTTATTTCAGCGGAACTGGCGGAGGCCGGGAGGAAATTACACTCCCCTCCTCCGGCTCGTAAAGACCTCCTCCAATCAAGGGCTCCTCTTGCAAGTGGAATTATCACACACACACACACACACACACATGCTCACACGCATCTACGCACAAACACAGACATACACACTTTTGCCTATAACTTAAAGTCATTCTCATTCCGTTTTCATAATGCCATTTCCAATAGGGTTAATGGGGAAAAGATAATTAAAATTAAAGTGTGCCATATTGAGTGAAATAATAGAAGTTGAGCTGTTATATGATGTGGAGTCGACTTCATAGATCAACTACTGACTGTACACTGCTTCTGGTTTATGTTTTGTGTGTTTGTGCACGTGCTTGCATATGTGTTGCTGAGGCTACGTCGCTATGGTAACACCAGAATCGGTCATTGGCCCAGAAGTGTGCAGCAACTGTGGTCGTGTTGAGAGTATTTGTGCACTTCTGTGTGTGTGTCTCCCTCTCTCTGTGTATTGGACAAATTAGAGATTAAGTGAGACTCTAATGATCTGTTCATTCACCACGGGTCTTAATCTCGTGTACAGAGATCAATATGAATTGGAATGTGTGTCACAAATATAGAAATACAGTAACATTCATATAAACATCTGCAAAAACGCTTCTGTGCCTCTTGTGTCAAATTAGCATTTAGCTTCTACTTCGGCAAGATGGCAGAGACTACTAGAGAGCTTGATTGTATGTGGTTGCATGTATGTAAGTACATGCTGTAAGCTTGTGTTGTGTTTATTTGCTCACTATATGACTGGATGTATGTGTATTTGGGTGTGGACGCTGTTAACAGGCAGCTAAAATAAGATGGAGCATCTGTCGATCAGCCAAATGCGGTTTATCACGACAAAGCCAACGGCGATATTTCTAAAACCCTCCTACCAACAGCTGTGTGTGTGTGTGTGTGTGTGTGTGTGTGTGTGTGTGTGTGTGTGTGTGTGTGTGCGTGTGTGCGCAAAAGTGTGTTTGTTGCTCGACATGTGATTTCCTCTTATAGTTGCAGGCTTGCTCTGTCACATTAGGCCTTTGCAGACAGTACTGTCCTTGCATAGTTTTACTGTCATACATCAATCAATACACTCAAACAAGCATACACATTGTTTATATGCACAGGATTACTAGGAAGTCAGTTAATTAACATTGTACAGTTATATGTACAGTATTTCTAGATCCAATTATTTCGTTTTTATTAAGTTTGTGTGGGTGTAAGAAAGCTCTGAATATGTTGATCATCATAATCTGTATACATGACACTGTATTTAAACAAAGGTAAACAAAGTCTGTTGTTTACTCATTTTGTTTATTTCTAAAAATGTGCTAAAAAGTCACGCAGGTAAAGCCTAAACTTTTCAACAAGATTACATTTTGAGAGCATAAATGAGAGTTATCTGAGTTAATCTTGGTTTTCCCTCCCCAATATGAATTCATCAGATTACCTATACCATTATTTCATTAATGGTAAGTTGTGTGTGACTTGTCCAAACCTCAGCAAAGGGGATGTTCACACATCAAAGAGGAGTAGTTTTAATGGTGTGGCAGTATATTTAGTTTGTTGTTTCAGTGCAAATAGTTGCTTTATATGCACTGAAACAACAAACTAAATATACTGCCACACCATTAAAACTACTCCTCTTTGGCAACTGTTTTAATTATTAATTAAAGCTGCAAGCAGCGTTGGGCGGGACCTCGCACTCCACGCAACTCGGGGTGCACTGCGGACGCGTTGCGTGCCGTCGTAACACGTGCGGACCACAACACGAAAATGTCACGTACATCAACTCAAAATCGCCACGCAGCGCTTACCAGCTGTTGCTGGAAGGTGGCGCTATTGCTATATCTTAATATTGTCATGTAGACAAGTTCAGGGTGGGACTGTTGTAACACACGTGAAGTTTCATTGAGATTGGACCACGTACGCTGAAGTTATGAGGACGTGTTCAGGGCGAGACTGTTACAGAATATATGAAGTTCACTGGAGATTGGACATTGCACACTGAAGTTATGAGTGGCATTTCATGGCGAATCCGCTGAATTTGACAAGTCGTCACTGGCACGGTCATTTCACGTAACGCAGCTCAAAATCGCCACGCAGCGCTTACTTCCTGTTGCCAGTAGGTGGCGCTATCACTATGTCTGAATATTGTCATGTAGACGTGTTCAGGGTGGGACTGTTATCAAACACGTGAAGTTTCATTGAGATTGGATCATGAACGCTGAAGTTACGAGGACGTGTTCAGGGTGGGACTGTACACTGAAGTTGAGTACTATCTGTTTATGGTGAATGGTCGAAATTCAACGCAACGCCACGGGCACGCCGTTTGACGGAATGTCGTAAATAGCACAACTTTTAATCATGA